AAGTACTACAACCAGTACTACTACTACTACTACTTCTACTACTACTACTACTACTACTACTACTACTACTACTACTACGACTACGACTACGACTACGACTACTACTACTATTACTACTACTACTACTACTACTACGACTACTGTTGCTATTACTACTACTACTACCACTACTACTACTACTACTACTACTACTACCACTACTACTACTACGACGACGACGACGACTACTACTACTACTACCACTACTACTACTACTACTACTACTATTACTACTACTACTACTACTACTACGACTACGACGACTACTACTACTACTACTACTACTGCGACTGCGACTACTATTTGAACTACTACTACTACTACTACTACTACTACTACTACTACGATTTCTACTACTACTACTACCACCTCCACCGGTACTACTACCACTGCTACTTCTGATATTTCTGTGAGTAGTGCTACTACTAACACCATCACCACCTCTAGTATAACAACTACTGCTAGTACTACTGCTAGCTTACTTTAACTACCACAGCTATCACTACTACTTCGACAACGATTACAATTGACAATAGTTTTTATTCATATTGCTACTTCCATTTGTCCTAGTACTTCTAATACTACCCGCTCTACTAGCATTGTCAGTGTTACCAGCACTAGTCGAGTTACTAGTACTACTAGTACTACTAGTACGATTCGTATTATTACTACTATTCGTACTACTCGTGCTCGTGCTAGCAACTCGCACTCGGTTTTAGTACTCGTTGTGGTACTAGCACTCGCCACGGCGGCCGCCGTTACTGTCACTTCCCCCCTTTCCCCCCAAGGAAAAAAAAGTATTCTCAATCTGAGACCCTGTTGTACATGCGTGTCCTGAACAGCGCGACCCTGGCCTGTGCGAAAGTCACGCGGAGACCCCCGTTGCACGCGAGAGCGCCCCGTCCCAGAGCGCGTGGAACTTTGGGCTGAGGGCCTTACGGCCCGTGCCGCCGACCCTGAAGGGGGACGACGACGACGACGACGACGCGCCGCCGCCGCCGCTGACGACGACGACGACGACGCCGACTGTGACGCCGACGCCAACGCCGACGAAGACGGCGACGACGACGACGATGACGACGACGCCGACGCCGACGTCGACGCCGACGCCGACGCCGAAGCCGAAGGCGACGGCGCCGCCGCCGCCGCCGACGACGACGACGACGACGACGATACGCGGCTGTGGCGTTTGCGGCGGCGGCAGCGGCGGCGACGACGACGACGGCGCGCTGGAGCCTTTCTTGGAGACCGATCTCCTGGGAGAGGACTGGCTTCTGTTGCCCTGATGGTCCGCTACCGAAAATTTCCGGTAGCGCTCCGCAGAGACCGGTCGCTACCGAAATACCGAAATGCAGCGCCCAATACCGGTATCAGAGCGTTCCGAAATCCGCTATTTCAGCGCCCTCGAACGAAGATCCGGTCGCGACCGAAATTCGGGGTGCGTCGAAATCGCTACCGAAAATCTCCGGTACCAGACCATCTGGGTGGGGCCGGGGGCCGGGGGCCGGAGGGCCGGGGCCGGAGGGCGGGGGGGCCCGGGGGGGGCCACCCCGCCCGGCCGCCAGGCCCCCGCTCCTCCTCCTCCTCCTCCTCCTCCTCCTCCTCCTCCTCCTCCTCCTCCCTCCTCCTCCTCCTCGGGGCCGGAGAGCGGGGCCAGGGCCGGGGGCCGGGGCCGGAGGGCGGGGGATCCGTGGCCGGAGGGCGGGGGCCGAGGCCGGGGCTGGAGCCAGCGCCGGGGTCGCGAGGCGGGGGGGAGGCGTCCCGAGCTCCCCCTTGCGGAAGGGAGACCACCTCCTCCTCCTCCTCCTCTTCCTCCTCCTCCTCCTCCTCCTCCTCCTCCTCCTCCTCCTCTCCCTCCTCCACCTCCTCCTCCTCCTCCGCCTCCTCCTCCTCCTCCTCCTCATTCACCTCCCCCTCTCCTCATCATCATCATCATCCTCTTCCTCCTCCTCCTCCTCCTCGTCGTCCTCCTCCTCCTCCTCCTCCTCCTCCTCCTCTCCTCCTCCACCTCCTCCTCCTCCTCCGCCTCCTCCTCCTCCTCCTCCTCCTCCTCCTCCACGCGCGACCCAAAAATTTGGGTACCGATCGGGAGCGACCAGTCGCGACCGATATGGCGAGATTTTGGGTAGCGATCGGTCGCGGCCCGTCGCCGCGAAAACGTCACAAGGGGGACCGCCCGGGGGCCTTGTTGTAGTTGTGGGTGGCAGGGTGCAACCGGCCTGGACACCCTCGGCTGGAGGCTGGGACCCCCGCCGTGACCATCCCTGCGGACGCCCTCCGGGACAGCCCCCCACCCCGGGGGGGAAGGGACAAAGGGAAGGGACTTCCGTCCGACGTAATTGCGACATTGCATTGTTCGATCCCCCATGCTTCTCCGATCTCCATCACGGCGACGATTCAAGGGGGGTTGCGCACTTCAGTTTGGTTTGGGCTGGCCTCGCGTCGAAGGGGGCCTCTCGCA